CCCGTCTCTCGCATGTCATCCGCGCACTCTATGGACAGACAGACACGAGTTAGACATCATGTCATACCATATCAGTGACAACACAGTGACAGACCTGAGGCGGTGGTAGTGGTCTCGTCGTCATAGCATTCTTCGCCGGTTTCCAAATCTATGATCACTTCTTCATCGCTTTGTTCGAACTGAAGACAATTGTCGTGTGAGTTGTCGTACAGATTGCTGAGAGAGTGAGCCCTGTCTGGCCTACCGATGCTGGCGGTGCCATCGATGACGGCCTCTTTGAGGTCATCCCTGAGTTGTGCGATTTGGTTCTGGAACCGCATTTTGGTGCGAACCAGTCGTTGTGTCTGGTGGTGCAGCTCAGACTCAGTCCTCTTGAGGTGTTGGATGTAACGGATGGCACAACTGATTATATTGATGTGCGAACTCTTCTTCTCGTTGTACTCATTCACCGGCAGTTCGTCTTTGAGTACTTCGAAGCAGTGTCTCAGATGTGCCCTTCGGTTCTTCTCCAGCGTCTTATGCATCTCCCGGTGCCGAGAGTACGACGAGTGGTCTCTGTTCTTGTGGCTAATGTTGACGCCATTGCTGTTCACCACGAAGTTGTTGGCATTCATTGATGACCTTATAGTCGAACCGATGTTCATCTCATTCATCAGCAGATGTCCGACGTTTTGGTGAGCATTGAGTTTTGTACTGTTATTGGATGTGATGGATGTGTTGGACACCATCCCAGACATGGGCTCCACTGCGGCCGCACATGACGTGTATGTGTGGAACTGGACACTGATGGGCACATTGGGATCCACTTTCAGGTGATACGTGTTGGCCACACATACGTCTCCCTCATCCACGCTATCACTCGCCATATAATCACGTCTTTGATCATCACTTGAATCTAGTCATGCGTTGGAAACAAGCACTCAATTGATGGCCAACTAAGACACGAATGGGTGGTAGGAATTCATGGTTGTATGGACTGACCTGTGCTCTGGATGTGATCCAAATACTCTGCGGCCTCCAGAAGAGTATCTAAACTCATATTTCATGAGGACTTGTGGTGTAATCGACGACACAATTAATGGTTAGTCTGTTATAAGAGAGACATAATTAGAGACGAATCACACGATAGACACGAAACACACGTTCACTCATACACTCAGTCAGTGTTTCACTCTATTATGTATGCATTCACTACTCATTCACTCATTCAATGCATTCATTCAATGTATTGTTGTTGTTGTCATGTCATGTGCGCTATTATGCCAACGCATACACACACCACGTTACACACCATCCGGATATAGCGTTACACAGACACAGGTGAGCCTACAGTGCAGTATAATGTGGTTGT